TTCAAACTTGGTCTGGCATCTCACCGTGATCGTATCGTGACACAAATCAAGAGGAATCCACCATGGTCAAACCTCTCTCACTGCCGGTCAAAGCCCTAGACCACGCGGACCTGCGGATGGGCGGGTCGTCAAAAACCGCCGCGCTAGGGAGTTCAGCATGTCGTGCACCTGATTCTTTTTCGTGAATACGCTGAACAGCCTATCATTTCATTGATAGTTGGAAAAGGAGAGTACAGGGTGCAGCCCTCTTGAACGTGCGCTAAATGGCGTCCAAGAGGGTGCAAAGCGAACAGCGGAGGAGGGTGCTCAGCCTCAAATCGTAGTGATTAGGTTACAGGGATGATTCTATCTAGACCTCTATCACCGGCCTTGGCCCACCGGCCCGCGTCGTCCTTGATCAGCTGCACAAGGTCATCAGTGAAGGGCTGGGTGCCGTCGAAGATGGCCGCGTTCCGGTGCTTCCAGATAGGCCATGCGGTGAGTGCGATGATGGAGTTGAGGCCTCTCCTAAGGCTGTCCGGGTAAGCCGCCGTGGCCTGAAGCCACCAGTCGAAGAAAGTGGTGGAGTCTAGCATGGGTGGTGTAAATAGTCGACACCAAGAAAGGATCTCATGCCAAGTGATCCGCGAGAAGACACAGCTAGCATGTAGGTGGTCTATAGCTAGTCTCGAGCTCCTCGGAACAGAAGATGCACAGTGGACCATGCGCGAGGTCGTGCACCTGTTTCTCAATCGCATCCTTTTGCGCTGCTGAGTAGCAGTAAGGCTTGGTGTAGATGGGAGTGGTGTCGGGCACCAGATTGATCCCGTTGTCATATTGGCGACACGACGGCAAGGCTGAGGGCTCGGTGAACACGTCGTCAAATTCAGTAAGCACTTTCTGAATGTTGGGTGGAACATGTGCTGCATTTTCCTTGTTAGATCGCTCGACTGTGACCAAGGCCGCGGTCCAGATATCATTAGCAACCTCCATTCGATGCAGCTCATATGCGTCCAACTCGAAGTCGGTGGAAGATCCATTATTCTGATGCCTTGTAGCTGGATGTTGAATTTCGAGCTCAGCGTTGGATCCAAAGACAGCAAATGGTACATTGATGTTTCGAATTACTGGCGCTATTCCTGTAGGCTGCCTGTCCGTCGTAACTGAACATCCGCACCTCAAATTCTTCAGTGTCAACCTCCTCTTCTACCGCTGCTCTGAATGTGTGCCATGTCATGCCGGGATGCGTCTGACGATATGCTTGCAGCCACATCGCAGTGAGGCCGTACGTCCATGTACAGTGCCACGATGGTGACCCAGCTCCATGTAGGCTCCGGCAAGGTGCGCGGCGTATCCCCTTCAAACCATGGGAAGCCGTACGTGTTTAGGGCGGCTTGATGAAGTAGTCGCCTGAACTGTCGTGCTAGCTCTGGGTCGTCGGTGAGGAGCTGACGTGGGAGAGGGGGGAGGAGATCGGATCACACAATTCACCTTCGTTGTCCTCCCTATGTCACACACGTTTACAAGTACGCACACACACACGTCGACTCCAACAGGCTGCTGCGAGTTTAGAGCTTCAGAGTCTGAACTCGCCCTCCTTCAGTCACCTGTAGATGCATCCACAGGCATGACAAAATCATGAGCTAACAGATGCTCTATTTAACTTAACTTTGGTGAATCGAAGAGACGATTCTTCTCTGTGATCGACCGACCCAAGAGATCGAAGAGCGCAGAGGACGACATGACGGACACTATCGTGCAACAGCACCAAGCAAGATGTAGTAGAAATTTCGCCAACATAAACGCAGCTAAGAAAAACACCAACGGCAACGACTGAGACTGACACGACACGGAGATGTTACGTTGCTGCTCTAGCTGCTTGTCACCGTCGTCGACCGTCTCATAATCCTGATGCTCCTGCAGTCGGGGACGAACATGTCCCAGGGGAGGTCGCCGGCGAGCAAGATGTCGCCGTCCTCGTCCTTGTAGGCGACGACCAAGTCCAGCATCTGGCCAGCCAAGCCCAGGAGCGCCGCCCTGAGCTCCGCGTGCCCTCCGTAAGCCATCAGGTCCACCTTCCGCTGGTACCGGGCTCCTTCCACGCTCACCTTGACGTACTTGCTCTCCGCCGACGCGCCGCCGCTGCGCGGAGGGCCGAGCCGCAGCTCGGCGTCAACGGCCTCTCCCTCCATGGATGGGCTCGGGTGGATGGCCTGCAGATTTCCCAAAACAAGAGGTCGGAAATGGGGAGAGTAATGGCCAGCCTACGGCGAACGGGGCTGGCATCCTTCTTCTTGCTTAGGAAGGTGAGCAGAACACATACCGTCGAGGGTCGCGGGCGAGGATCGGCGCCGTGCCGACGGAGCCGGCGCTGGCCGACGGTCGTCCGTAGCTGGGGATAGCCGTCGCCGGAGCTCACCGATTCCATCGAGGGTAGTCGCCGGCGCCAGGTGGGAGGAATGAATACCGCCTGAGATCTGGGCTGTGAGCTGCTGCATATACTCCCTCCGTCCGAAAATACTTGTCATCAAAATGGATAAAAAGAGATGTATCTAAAACTAAAATATGTTTAGATACATCCCCTTTTATCCATTTTGATGACAAGTATTTCCGGACGGAGGGAGTATAATATAACCGGAGGAACGCGCGCGGCCGTTTCCTGTCCTGCCCTCCCTCTTCCTCACCCTCACCCTCACATGCTCGCTGCAGAGAATGGACAAGCGGTGTCATGCGCTTGCTGAGCCGAGAATGGCAGCCCAGTCATGGCGATATCTGGTTGCTGAGCCGAGAATGGCATGCATGCAGCTGGGCGCCACGGCTCTGCGTGGAGAAGAAGAAGGAGAAGGAGGCTGGGAACATGCATGCAGAGAAAAGAGATCCATCCGGGCGTTTTGGCCCTCGTTATGAAATAGAAATTCAGGTGGGCCGGGGAGGGGAGGGGAGCCACCAACAATTTCCATCCATCATCATATATGTACGTACTACGTCAGTACGTGTGCTCGCCTGGGCCGTGCAGTGGGCTGAATAGACAGTCGCTGCCTGCCTCTATCTCCTCCGTGGCTCTCACGCTTCCACACACCGACCGGCTCCATGCTGACTTTCGGCTCAACAAACCGACGGCGCCCAGTCCGAGAGTGTGATGGTGGCAAGTTCAATTTTTTTTTAAACTTTTGCTCCTGCTGCTTGCAAGATAATTAGATAAAGACATTATGGTTTTTATTAAATGAAATCAGAGAGGAAGCTCTCTTTATAAAAGAATATCCTTTTTTTCGTTATGTGGTTTGTTTAGTTTGCGTACTCAGAGACTTGGATGATCTCTCTGAACATTTCTTCACACCTCTCTTAGTTCAAGCTCATCAGCAGTTCCAAGATGAAACTGCTCTTATGCAGGCTGCACAGCTGAATAACTCACTGGATAGATGGTGCTACCCATGGAATAGAAATAAGGATGGATATTCTTCTATCAAAATGTACAAGCATCTCCAAAAGAAAGAGTTAGCTCCACCACCAATTTTCAAGAATATATGGAAAAGTGCTGAAATGCTGAGATACAAGATCTTTGTGTGGTTGATTCTGCATGACAGAGTAAATGTCAGAAATCTTCTTTTGAGAAAGAACTTCCATCTGCCCAACTATAACTGTGAAATCTGCAACTGTTGTTGTGAGGAGAGCAGTCTTCATCTTTTTTGGGACTGCCCATTCGCGCTATCATGCTGGATTCCATTGGGAGAGAGGCACTAATGCTTTTGATGAGATAACTCTCTTGCTAAATCACCTCCCCAAGCAATTTGGAATGAGCATAGTCATCATGGGCTGCTGGCATATTTGGATGTAGAGGAACTCCAAAATCTTCAAAGCTCAAAACCCTTCTGTGCAAGGTTGGAGAATTTTGCTCAGGAATGATCTTAAGATGGTAGTTGTGAGAGCTAAAGAAAAACACAGACATGCATTCAAGGGTTGGATTGCAGATAAACTAGCTTAATTCTTCATGGATATACCTAGAGCTGGTATTGTTAGGTGGCCTTAGTGTTTACTTTTTTGTTTTGTTTTCTTTTGGATGTACATAACTTTACTTTATTTTGAATGAAAATTACCGTAGAACAATTGTTCTACGTTCCTCGGTTCAAAAAAAAAAAGTTTGCATGCATGCCCTCGCATATATAGCGAGAGAGGCGCTGGCCGGTGGTTCAGTGCTCGCGAGGACAGGGATGGCACAGTGACGGGTGGGGCAGTCGTGTCCGGGGGGACAACGAGGGAGGTGATAGCCGCGGTGGCCCGCCCGGGGGTTGTATCTGCACCCCGGTAGACAGGCGGTGCCGGGAGTAATGGACCGACTCAGGGCAGATTCTCTGCGGCGGCTGATGGTGCCTCCACCCCCAGCTGCCTGGCGGATACATGAAACATGCTCCTGCCCCGCTCTATATTATAAAGCCAATTAGCTGAACTATGGTACATTGGTGTTGAAGTAACCGTCAAAAGCTAGTAAAACAAGGAGAACACGACAAAACAAACTAAAGACGCAAAACACACACACACACACACACACACACACACACGAATGCACTAGCAAATGCCGCTAGAATGCCAGCGAGGAGAAGCGCAGGAGATTCGCTACCACGATAGATAGCCACCCATACTCCTAAGAAGGTAACGACATCATACATCGCCGCCGCATGCTTGCCAAAGCAGTCGAAGGTTTTCACCCAGAGTACCAAAGAGGATGGATAGAACCAAGATGGGACCACAAAGGTACTACGACAACCTGAAAGTGCAACTATTCCCTGGGTGGTTTTGGTAATTCTTAACAACATATAGCTCATTGAACTAATACTCTTTCAAGATGATCATTTCAGAAAGTTCATTGATTGGCATGGCATGGACTAGAGATGTGGATGTTGGAAATATGCCCTAGAGGCAATAATAAAAGGATTATTATTATATTTCCTTGTTCACGATAATTGTCTTTATTCATGCTATAATTGTATTATCCGGAAATCGTAATGCACGTGTGAATACATAGACCATAATATGTCCCTATTAAGCCTCTAGTTGACTAGCTCGTTGATCAACAGATAGTCATCGTTTCCTGACTATGGACACTAGATGTCATTGATAATGGGATCACATCATTAGGAGAATGACGTGATGGACAAGACCCAATCCTAACCATAGCACAAGATCGTGTAGTTCGTTTTGCTAGAGCTTTTCCAATGTCAAGTATCTGTTCCTTAGACCATGAGATCGTGTAACTCCCGGATACCGTAGGAGTGCTTTGGGTGTACCAAACGTCGCAACGTAACTGGGTGACTATAAAGGTGCACTACAGGTATCTCCGAAAGTATCTGTTGGGTTGACACGGATCGAGACTGGGATTTGTCACTCCGTATGACGGAGAGGTATCTTTGGGCCCACTCGGTAATGCATCATCATAATGAGCTCAAAGTGACCAAGTGTCTGGTCACGGGATCATGCATTACGGTACGAGTAAAGTGACTTGCCGGTAACGAGACTGAACGAGGTATTGGGATACCGACGATCGAGTCTCGGGCAAGTAACGTACCGTTTGACAAAGGGAATTGTATACGGGGTTGATTGAATCCTCGACATCGTGGTTCATCCGATGAGATCATCGAGGAGCATGTGGGAGCCAACATGGGTATCCAGATCCCGCTGTTGGTTATTGACCGGAGAGCCGTCTCGGTCATGTCTACGTGTCTCCCGAACCCGTAGGGTCTACACACTTAAGGTTCGGTGACGCTAGGGTTGTATGAATATGAGTATGCAGCAAACCGAAAGTTGTTCGGAGTCCCGGATGAGATCCCGGATGTCACGAGGAGTTCCGGAATGGTCCGGAGGTAAATAATTATATATAGGAAGTGCAGTTTCGGCCACCAGGAAAGTTTCGGGGGTCACCGGTATTGTACCGGGACCACCGGAAGGATCCCGGGGGTCCACCGGGTGGGGCCACCTATCCCGGAGGGCCCCATGGGCTGAAGTGGGAGGGGAACCAGCCCCTTGTGGGCTAGTGCGCCACCCCCCTGGGCCCCCCTCTGCGCCTAGGGTTGGGAACCCTAGGGGAGGGGGCGCCTCCACTTGCCTTGGGGGGCACTCCACCCCCCTTGGCCGCCGCCGCCCCTAGAGATCCCATCTCTAGGGCCGGCACCCCCCCTGGGGGCCTATATAAAGGAGGAGGGGAGGGAGGGCAGCCGCACCTAAAGTTTTGGCGCCTCCCTCTCCCCTTGCTACACCTCCTCCTCCCGTAGTTGCTTGGCGAAGCCCTGCCGGAACTCTGCTGCATCCACCACCACGCCGTCGTGCTGCTGGATCTTTATCAACCTCTCATTTCCCCTTGCTGGATCAAGAAGTAGGAGACGTCATCCGCTCCATACATGTGTTGAACGCGGAGGGGCTGTCCGTTCGGCACTTGGTCATCGGTGATTTGGATCACGGCGAGTACGACTCCATCATCCCCGTTCTCTTGAACGCTTCCGCTCGCGATCTACAAAGGTATGTAGATGCACTCCTATCACTCATTGCTTAGATGAACTCATAGATGGACCTTGGTGAAACCGTAGGATTTTTTTTATTTTCTGCAACATTCCCCAACAGTGGCATCATGAGCTAGGTCTATGCGTAGTTCTCTATTGCACGAGTAGAACACAAATCTGTTGTGGGCGTAGATCTTGTCAACTTGCTTGCCGCTACTAGTCTTATTTTGCTTCAGCGGTATTGTGGGATGAAGCGGCCTGGACCGACCTTACATGTACGCTTACGTGAGACAGGTTCCACCGACTGACATGCACTAGTTGCATAAGGTGGCTAGCGGGTGTCTGTCTCTCCCACTTTAGTTGGAGCGAATTCGATGAAAAGGGTCCTTATGAAGGGTAAATAGAAGTTGACAAAATCACGTTGTGGTTATTCGTAGGTAAGAAAACGTTCTTGCTAGAACCCAATTGCAGCCACGTAAAAGATGCAACAACAATTAGAGGATGTCTAACTTGTTTTTGCAGCAATTGTTTTGTGATATCATATGGCCAAAAGTTGTGATGAATGATGAATGATATATTGTGATGTATGAGATCATATTCTTGTAATAGGAATCACGACCTGCATGTCAATGAGTATGACAACCGGCAGGAGCCATAGGAGTTGTCTTTATTTATGTATGACCTGCGTGTCATTGAAGAACGCCATGTAAATTACTTTACTTTATTGCTAAACGCGTTAGCCATAGAAGTAGAAGTAGTCATTGGCGTGACAACTTCATGAAGACACGATGATGGAGATCATGATGATGGAGATCATGGTGTCATGCCGGTGACGAAGATGATCATGGAGCCCCGAAGATGGAGATCAAAGGAGCTATATGATATTGGCCATATCATGTCACTATTATATAATTGCATGTGATGTTTATTATGTTTATGC